TTGGGTTGGTGGGAGATCCACTGTTAATCCCCTGTTACGTTTTGAATGATGCACAGTGAAAAGACTGCAGTTTTGTTATGATGTAAGACATCATTCATATTGGAAGGGCTATTGAAGATCCATTAAATGGGTGCAATGTTATTAAACCATGATGACGTGTGAGATTATAGAAGATTGGAATTGGTTTGGTAGCCATGCTGTCGAAAGGCTTGCTAAAAAGTTTGTTAGAATATTTGGAGGCAATTATGGGCTGTGTGGTGGGAAGGACAAGACTTGGAAGCCAATAATTGTGACAAAAGAGTGAAATGAACTGGGAAAGCAACAATATTAGTACTCTGGAAATCTGTTTATCACCTGAATTTACTGCATATGTCTTTAGAAATTGACAAGCTTTTAAGAAGTAGAATTCAAACTCTTACCTTGGTTGCGAGGGTGAGGAGTGTCAACAAGCTCAGGTTGCCCTTGAAACTCTCTAGTTCTGCGAATTATTGTTCTAAAAGTTTGTGCAGTTAATCATTTTGCAGCTTGTCTTATTGTTTGTTTAAAGAACGTGACTCTTTAATCAGATGATGCCTTCTCCTCTGGGGCTGAGTAATGAGGAAAGATAATTTAAAATTCAGGAGGCCTGGAAGTAAATATGTGTAAAAATGTTGAGATCTATCTTGGATTATCTAGTAAAAGCTCTATATATGGAGTGGGGGAGGGTAATGGCCAGTTTTTGGAGACGATACATGTCATGGAGGATATAAGAAACATGGATTTATCTTCTGTTTGACAGCAACATGGATAGATTCAGCTTATTGTTTTTAATTGAAGCCTTTGGTATAGAACACTTATTCATAATTATTGTCTGTCTTCTTGATTTAAGGCACTATCAATTTTAGGTTTCCAGTCGTTTATTCTGCATTTTCCTCATCATATATAACCAGCATTTGCATTATCACTGATTTCTACATTTTGAAATGAGCTAATTATTTTATACGACTTAATTGTTCACGATTGTTGATGCTATATCTTACCTTCCATAGTGTAGAATGGGTCAGCAATTGGGTAATTGATGCAAAACGTCCATATCGTTTGCCTTCATTGCGCAAATCGTCCCTATAATTTCAATTTTGACATTTGGGCCTTCATATTGACCTTTCTTTGTGCATAAGATCATTATCGTCTATTTTCTCTATTAAAGCATTGTAAAATTGCTAATTTATCCTCTTTAAATAAACAAATAAAAAAGAAAGAAAGAATATAAGAAAAAAAGAAATAATTACAGCTAGAGTTTCAAGTTTTTTAAAAAGTATAAATGGGTCTCACGTAAAACAATTTAAAACATACTAACAAAAGAAAAATATTTCATCTTCCCAATTAATTCCACCTACCCTTACCTCCATCCTTTACCCTCCATCACCACCAAAGTAATTAAAAAGAGAATTAAAAGTATAAAAAAACTAAGAAAATAATTTAAGATAGGAAAAAAATGGTTCTTCTTCCCCATCTAATTCCGCACTTTTTTTGCCTCACGAAATGATGTCTAGAGATGGAATTTTTTCTTCCATTAGAGGGTTTATTCAAAATCTTAATCCAAATCTCAATCCTAACTGTTCTAATTCAAACCCAGCTAAGAGGAAAAAACATTTTTTTGGGAAGATTAATTTTTTTTAACATGTTTTATATTATTTTAAGTGGGACTCGTTTGTACTATTTGAAAATTTTAGGACTTTGACTACAATTGTATCTTTTTTATATTATTTTTTTTTCAATTTGTTTATTTAAAAATGAGGGTCAATTACTCATTTTGCAATGTTTTAATAGAGAAAATAGACAATAAGGACCATTTGCGCAATGAGAGGTAAAAGACCAACTCCACATGAAAATGTTGAAATGAGGATGCAAATGCAATGTTTGAAACGATAGGGACAATTTGCACGATGAGTGCAAACAATGGGGACCATTTGTGCTAATTACTCGTCTGCAATTTGTAGTTCTTTATAATGTTTTTTAATTTTTGATTATGTATTTGTTCTGTCTCTATCATATAGTTTAAATCTTGCTTTTATGTTTTGGCCTTCGATTTCATGTGATTGTATGTTGCCCGCCCTTGGAGTTTACTTGTTTGCGATTTCCTTTGTCGATAGTGTACATATTCGATCGATATCAGTTGTAGCAACAGTGCAAAAATGTTATCCTTATTGCATGTGAACCTTCTAAAGAATAAGCAGTAATAGCATTAAGCTTTGCAGTGGCTTAATGGACATTTAATTGTCACTTTGATTCTAAAATATTAGGCCCGACTTCCTGAAGCTCGTGTTATTTATTGCTCGGCAACTGGTGCTTCTGAACCGCGCAATATGGGTTATATGGTTCGCCTTGGTCTTTGGGGAGTTGGAACATCTTTCTTCAACTTCCGTGAATTTTTAGGTGCGATTTTCATTTAGTGCAGCTGTCAGTCAAATTTATATCTAGTTTAAATTTATGTAAGCTATCTTTCATGACTTCAGGATCTTATTTAGCTACGCTGATGATGATATCCTTTGACTGAATTATAGGCTTACCTTCAGTTTCATCATTAATTTCCTTGCTAATTGGTTTGACTGATTTTTTCTTTATCCAGCTTAAGAAATCCAAGCTCATTTCTCTAACCTTCCATCTAATTTCCTTTTTTTCTCATAATTTTAAATGTCATTAATTTTACAATTTGAAAAGCTAGAACCCATCTCCAAAGTATTAGGGAGGAGTCTCATATCTGTGTCACTTACGTTTCATCTTATCAATATGCTCACAAGTCACAGACTCATTAAGAAATGGTTAAAATGGTTGTTGGACAAGATTTATTGTACAAGAGGAAGAGTTATAGTTCTTCACCTATGCATGGAGAAAATTAATAGCAAAAGGAACTATGATTTGATGTCTGACATGTTTGTTATGATAAAGATAATTTGAGACGTTCTTTGATTGTCGAGTCGACACGACTCCTGCATTTCACCAACCTGGATGTTGTTGTGCTATTCACATTTGCTTGATTCTGCATTTCTTATAGACATATGCTACATTACTTGTTTAGTATGTTCCCTTAAGTTATCCAGCACAGTACAACTGCAGGTCTTCAGGCATATATTATGTGCTGTTCAGGTTTATTTTTTGCATGTACATTCCTTCTCTTTTCAATGAACCTAAAGATTTACATGATTTTATTTTTTCGATTATCTTTATCCTATGATTGTAAAGTTGTGGCTACCTCTCATGATCCTTTACAGGTGCAATGGAGAAAGGAGGTGTTGGAGCTCTAGAACTTGTTGCCATGGACATGAAAGCAAGGTTTTGATTTAGCATACTGTATGGAATAATTAACTCGAATAACAATTTTGTCAATTAAAGTAACACTTTGTTTTCTAGGGGTATGTATGTTTGTCGTACACTGAGCTACGAAGGTGCGGAATTCGAAGTTGTTGAAGTACCCTTGAATTCCAGCATGACGGTATGGTGCAGTTCCTTGCTTATACTGACTTAAAAAAAGGAGATTGACGACTGAACGTATGGCAATTTAAAAGTTTTATGATTTTCTCACATCAATTATGGTACTTTAAGGGCTTGTTCGGGATAGCTTCTGTTTTTTGTAGAAGAGCTTCCTAAGTAAGTCACATTTGGCCAGCTTTCTCTAAAAGCTCTTATATAAAGGGAAATTACCCTAACGGGTCCAAAAACAGCTTCTTAGTCATAGAAGCAACTTTTGGTTTTTTGAAAACCTTGTCAAACAGGCGTATACTGGTGAATTGAATGTTTAAGCAATGCTATGGCGTTGAATATTTTCGCATGTTACTTTTTTCAGTTAGGTTTACTAGGAGTTTGATATCCTGCAAAGATGGCTCTTACCTCTTTCTAATAAGTTCTTGATATGCTTTTGAATTGGTGCATTTCCATGAACTGTTGTAATCTGATGGATGCAGAAGTTGGTTACAGTATTACCATCCTGTAAAGAGAAAAATGTGCAAATAACCATGCTTTATATATTTTTATTGAGCCACTCTGCTATAATGTATATGTGCGTCCACCCTTCACTGTTGGTCTGCCGCTAATGTGTTGGATTATGTTGATGAAAATTGATGATGTATTAACAAATATTTTATCTCTGTTCCTGCAAGTATATGTGCCTTTACAATTTCAAGGTTTCAGTATTGAAATTGTCTAGACAAGCTTCGTCCTTGTATAATTCTATAATTGGCGCATGATTTTCCTGATCATATAAACTACTAATGTTTGCGACTATCTTTTTTCCACCTGACACTTCACTGTTCTCAGGATATGTATAGAAAATCAGCAGAATTTTGGGCCGAGTTGAGACTGGAATTACTATCAGCAAGTGCATTCCTTACCAATGACAAGCCGAGCACAAGTCAATTATGGAGATTATTTTGGGCCAATCATCAGGTTTTTAATCTTCAATTCATCAAGTTTGCAGCATATATATATATATATGTATATATAATGAGTTCAATGTTTTCCTTATATACACAATTCATATATGTTTTTGTTTCCATGAACCACTGTAGCGTTTCTTTAGACACATGTGTATGTCAGCCAAGGTGCCTACAGTCGTAAATCTTTCTAAGCAAGCATTGATGGAAAATAAGTGTGTCGTCATAGGCCTACAGAGTACTGGAGAAGCACGGACTGAGGAAGCTGTGTCAAAATATGTGAGCCTCCCCTCCCCCCTGCAGTAATGGTTAAATTTCTTGGATTTCCAAATCCCTGCCACACATGTTGTCAACTTGTCGTACTCTTTTGGTGAAAATTATTAAAAAAATGCTTGTCAAATAGACTTTCTTATCATGAATTTTGGGTATATTTTCTTGTTGAAGTTGTTTGCAACAAATTTTCCTCATAGGGGAAGTTCTTTTGTGTGGAAATAGGGTCTTGAACTTGATGATTTCATCTCGGGACCTCGTGAATTATTGCTGAAATTTGTTGAAGAAAATTATCCTCTGCCCGAGAAGCCTGAACCACTCCCAGGTAACTATATAGTTTGCATAGTGGAACACTATGTATCTTCCTTGTTGTGCTTCCATCCTCTTTTTTTTTTGCATCCTGAAGCATACCTTTTCTATTTTTGTACTCAGAGGAAAGCGAGAAAGAGCTACCAAGAAAGAGACACTCAGCAAAACCTGATGTTTCCTTCACTGGGAGAGTAAGGAAAGTTGCTAAATGGCAAGCTGAAAGTGATGAAGAAAGCGAGTGGGGATCAGAAAGTAAATTATAAGAATCCTTGTCCTTGATCTGATGTGTAGTTTCAGTGCAAATATTGAATGAAATCTTTCTGTTACATGGTTTTGAAAATTAGCGTTCTTTTTCTCTCTCACAACATAATGTCATCAAATTTGTTATCATTATTAATGCATTATTTATTCCAACATTCAGCGAAGTACATGAATATGTAAATGACATATTCGGAATTTTTAAGTCTTGCATGTGCAGTGCCATGTAGCCTCATGGATGGAACAAGAGGAGAGAGGCTGGGCAAGATGACAAACTTTTGGCTAATGCTGTCAAAATTAAGTAGCTTTATCACTAGAAAACTACGCGCTCTCCTTATTCCCTCTCCACCTCCCAAAAGAGTGGACCAAACACTTGTTGATTATATTTAAGTCACATTCACAGTCTCTTGGCTCTTATATGCCTTGTTTAGTAGCCAGATGTAATTGATACATTTTCCTGCAGTACTCTCTTCTCTCTTCCATGAAAGAAAATAGTTTTGGTTATGACTAAGAAGTAAGAACTATCATTTGTCTGTAAAGAAGCTTATCGAGAACATTGCTGCTTATGAATAAAATTTGAACAGCTCTTTGAATTCCTGATACGTATTGCATATATCACCTAATGGTACAAACATTTAAAACTCATGCTTAAGATCCCGCAACTCCACCTTTATCTAGGCATTTGCATTGGTGGCTTCTTTTTACTTGACACCCATTCTTCACTCATTAAATTTACCATCGAATGTATGATGCCCTCTCTCTCTTGCTCACAATGCAAGGTTTTCATGATTGTTGATTCTCTTTCTGATGAGTGCAGCCGACACTGAACCTGAATCTGTTGGATCTGACGATGAGTTTCAGATATGCAATATTTGCAACTCAGAAGAAGTATCTCTCTCTTTCTTGTTTAGATTTATAGGATATGATTGGTGTGTTTTTTAATCTATCCTGCTGTGATACCTCTCTTTACTTGTGTAGGAAAGAAAGAAATTACTGCAATGTTCCTGCTGTGGCCAGCTTGTCCATCCTGCATGTCTATTTCCACCCGTTGTTGAAGCAGTACCTGAGGATTGGTCTTGTCACTCGTGCATGGAAAAAACGGAGGAATATCTTCAAGAGAGACGTGCCTATGTTGCAGAACTGTTTAAGAGGTATCATTTGTGCAAAAAAAAAAAGGGTTTTTCTTTTCCAACCATTTTTCCTTTCACGATAGCATGCTAATGTTATTTTTGAACCTTGTACATGATTTTGATGGCTATGATTAGGTATGAAGTAGCAGTGGAGCGTCAATCAAATATTTTAGAAATAATTCGTTCAATGGATCTTCCAAACAATCCATTGGATGATATTATTGATCAGGTAGCTGCATGATCCGAACTAAATACCTGTCAACATTCACTAATATTTCACAACTTTTGTCTTCTATTAACCTTGCAATGTCTGCGCAGCTTGGAGGCCCTGATAATGTCTCAGAAATAACGGGGAGGCGAGGCATGCTTGTCAGGGCTTCTGGTGGAAAAGGAGTCACCTATCAGGCACGAAACACGTGAGTTTTGGGAATGAATGCACTTGCATCTTTCTTTATTTTATTTAAGTTCGTTAAGTCACTATCTGATATGATTTAGGAAAGAAGTGACCATGGAAATGGTCAATATGCATGAAAAGCAACTCTTCATGGATGGTAAGAAGCTGGTAGCTATTATTTCTGAAGCTGGATCTGCTGGTGTTTCATTGCAAGCAGATAGAAGGGCCGTAAATCAGGTCATTTTCGTTATATTTCTACTTCATTCCACTATTCCATGAGTTCCTGTTGGATGAGGATTTATTCACATACCTATTCCTTGTTCTTAAGTGCTAGTTGAGTTTGGATCTGCTTCTTACTTGTCTTCTCATTCTCCCCATATCTCAACAGAAAAGAAGAGTTCATTTAACTCTAGAACTACCTTGGAGTGCAGACCGAGCAATTCAACAATTTGGAAGAACACATCGATCTAATCAAGCTTCCGCACCTGAGTACAGGTAGAGATAAGTTTTACAATTCTGATTTGATTAATGGACGTGTCACAAATAGATGTATTTCAATCGGTACCACTGTAAGTGTAACCTTTGTGCACATGCCCTAACTGAAAATGTTATTCTTTGAATACAGAAGTATAGAAATGATATTTTTAGTCATATGTAAACAATTGAATACAAAGAGGAATTTAAAGAGATATTGCACTATTCTAGGAAAAGGCTATTTTAGGAAAGGAAGTATAATCAGCCTAATTACATTACCTCTATTATGGAATATTAACTCTCTAAAAATTATACTACAGAATCTTCAACCAAGAAATAAATTTTTGATAATTTAAATATGCAATGGTCACTTGTATTGTGCCCCTATTATTGTACTTAGACTTCAAGAAATGTTTTGTTGTGCTGATTACATTTTTGGCATACAGGCAAAGTTTGCTTAAGACTACACATAGAGTTGGTCGATTTAATATTTACACCCGTTCTGCATGCTGATAACCAAGTAGCAAATATTCTTTGTGCTTCACAGGCTGCTTTTCACGAACCTTGGTGGTGAACGCCGGTTTGCATCGATTGTAGCCAAGAGACTTGAATCTCTTGGAGCATTAACACAGGGAGACCGGAGGTAGCTCTGAATCATTCTTGTATATTCCAGTAGATAGTCTTGATGACAATTAGTTTTAGCATACCATCATAACCAAACATGCAACCTTAATATATTGTGTATAAGGCTTAGTTTGTCATTGTTGTATCCAATCGTGGCAACATGGATGTTAGCTCTGTTAACTGTGTTCTAGGGCTGGACTTGGACTTTCTCTTAGCGCATATAATTATGATAGTGTTTATGGGAAGAGAGCTCTGATGATGATGTATAAAGGACTCTTGGAACAGGTATTCAGTTAGTTTACATGATGGTCGCAAACTAATTTTTATATTTCTCTTGCGTTTATATAAGTTATCTTTGCTTTTGTCTTCTTCTTTTATCGTTTTATCAGGAATCTTTGCCAGTTGTACCACCAGGGTGTTCATCTGAAGAACCAGAGACAATTCGAGATTTTATTCTGAAGGGAAAGGCTGGTCTTATATCTGTTGGAATAATTAGGGATTCGGTTCTTGGTAATTTTCTGATTTATATGTAGGAAAGTAATGTAGATTTCTTTTCTTGAAAGGCTTTTCCCTGGTTTTTTCTGTGTGGATGGGTTGGTGAGTGGGGGTTTGCCTTTTAGCATTAACGAGTTCTGATGACATTTTTTGTTATCTTTATGATTTGATGTTAAAATGAACTTTAATGCATTGTTCATCAGTTTTAAGTGGGATATTATCTGCACTGCCAAGTGATAGACCTTAAAAAAGATTTCTTCGTTACGTTTCACGGAAATCTTCTCTTGATTAATTCTCTGTCTAGGTAGCGGGAAGGATTCAGGAAAAAATTCTGGACGAATAGTTGATTCGGACATGCATGATGTTGGACGTTTCCTCAATCGGCTTCTAGGGGTCCCTCCTGAGATTCAGAACAAGTATGTGGATTGATGTCAAGTTTTGGTGTGTTTACTCTTTCAACACGCCTTTGTAGTATTGAATGCTAATACTATTGCAGGCTCTTTGAGTTATTTGTCAGCATCCTTGATCTTCTCATACACAATGCACGTACTGAAGGACATTTGGACTCTGGGATTGTTGATATGAAAGCTAACTCCGTCGAACTGCAAGGAACTCCAAAGGTCATGCCACTACCCTCGCTCTATTATATTTAAATTACTGATATATATTAACATCCACATTTGACAGACTGTCCATGTCGATCATATGTCTGGGGCATCCACTATTCTGTTTACTTTCACTTTGAATCGAGGAATGAAGTGGGAGGTATTATTTTGTTCCTGTAGATCCAAAATATTAGAAATGATTGGATAACTATAGTAGATGACTTCTTTCATCATTTGCAGTCTGCGCTGTCTTTGCTTGAGGAGAAGCAGAAGGACAAACCTGGTTTGCCTAATAATGGATTCTATGAGTCTAGACGGGAATGGTTGGGAAGACGGCATTTTATATTGGCATTTGAAGGGTATGGATTTTAGATTTTATATTGACATGTTACACTAAACAATAAACACTGCCTGCGTTTACTTCATTTAGGGCCTGTTTGATGTAGATTTTGTAAAAAGTGATATATTAGGAGAATGTAGCTAAAAATTAGGGAAAAGTCATGGGTTCACGTGCAAAATTATTTTATTGGGAGAATATATATGTTAAGATTTTGGGTTCCATCTTAAAAGGTCAACCTTATTAAAAGGAATAGTCCAAGATCTTTATTAATTGGTCCGTGTCAACATCATTTATCGATATGGGATATATATCCCTTAACACGCCTCCGCAAGTTGGTGGCTCATTTGAACAGACCAATTTTGAAATCCACGTGCTCATTTTAGAGTCTTATCAGGATCGAATCGCTCGTTGGAACATAATGGGCTCTGATACCATGTTNATTGGGAGAATATATATGTTAAGATTTTGGGTTCCATCTTAAAAGGTCAACCTTGTTAAGAGGAGTAGCCCAAAATCTTTATTAATTGGTCTGTGTCAACATCATTTATCGATGTGGGATATATATCCCTTAACAATATAGTTGAAAATGAGTTTGAAAGAATCTGCACTGAACATGGGCTGAATAGTTAATAATGAGCATTAGTGTAATGGTAAAATTGGCTGACAAACAAAAGGTTAATTTATTGCTTTAAATATGAAGCTATCACTTGTGGCCTTGAGGCTTGGACAGTATCACATTCATCTCTCAGGGTCTAGATGGTTTATACACCTTCGGCTATTTTTGATCTCTCTAGATTATCAGACAACTGCTGGTTCATGCTGCAGTAGCACAATAGATCTTGTACTGTACGGACAATATCCATTTCCGATGGTTGGATTTATGGGGAAATATTACTAAAACAAGCAATTCATTGAGCGTGCAAGCTTTTTAAGCTATGAAATGATAGGATTTGTTTACATCCCAGCATTTTGGTGTATTTGTTAGTATGTAGATTTTTTTTAATTGCATATTAACTTGTTAGTCATCATTTGCACACACGTGTAGAATAACTATGCTATAATTTTGTATTTCGGGGTTTTTTGGAAAGTTAATTTTCTATCTCTAGATTACTATTTCTACTTTCTGCTACTGTTCTCTCTCTAAATATGTTTCTCCTCCCCATGTGTTGGAGTAAAAACATGGCAATGTCAATGTTCACTCTCATTACTGGAGATCTGATTAATTTTGGACAAGTTTTGAGGTGGTTTGAATGATTTATTTGTTAGTGTTGACTTTCATGTGCCTTGAAAGTGTGGCTCCCAATTGAAATCCATACCGCTGGAATTCTCCTTAAAAGTGTAGGTGCTGCTGAACTGGGCTGCACACAAGGCCTTTGCCGTGTTTTCATTATCATTTAAACTTCATTACATGGTGACTTTAAAGAATTCCGGATCTTTAATTCTGCCTAGTATGTTTATTTACTTTACTTCTTTTCTCTTGTTACAGTTCTGTCTCTGGAATGTACAAAGTAATCCGTCCAACCATTGGGGAGTCTCTCAGGTGCCCAAATAAATTATCGTCGGGATATCTCAGAATCATTTTCCTTTTTTAGTTTCCATATCAATTTATTAAACATTCTATGTGGCTTTCATTCAATATCCAGGGAGATGCCTCTAGCAGAATTAAAAGACAAATACAGAAAAATTTCATCTTTGGAGAAAGCTCGCAGTGGTTGGGACGATGAATATGATGTTTCATCAAAGCAGGTAATAAATATTTATTAATGTAATTAGTGAGTTATTTTGCCTGAAGTTTTGATAATCAGTTTATTTTCTTGCAACATACTCTGTCTTATTATCATGATATCGGAAATTGGATAAAATTATAATTTAGTGTCAATGAAACATGTGAAGAATGCAAACCGAAATAATCTGAGGAGTTTTACAATAACTTGACCACAAGGCAGCTGGTTCATTTGATGGCTGTGATTTCATTTAAGTCAGATCTGTTTTACTTTGTTTTTCTCTCTATGGACTTTATTTTGTCATGTTGAACATTTATTATGTTTACATATCTAAGTATCCCATTAATTTCTAAGCTTTCACTTGGTACATATCTAGGTGACAAAGTTAGTGAGAGAAAATGCACCCATACATCTCTTGTATTTATATTAATTAATGAATTTACATCATATTCATGTTGGAGAGACTTCCACTCATCCAATTCCGGAACTCCTACACACTCTCTTGCGATTTCGTTTCGGCTGTGGATTACGAAATACCTCACACCCTCTTTGCTGATGATTTGTTTTTATTATAATTTGATCTGGATTGATAATAAAAGCATTATTCCTGCAGTGCATGCATGGCCCAAACTGCAAGCTAGGAAACTTCTGTACAGTCGGCAGAAGATTACAGGTAGTGAACGTTTTAGGTGGCCTCATTCTCCCTGTCTGGGGAACTATTGAGAAAGCACTTTCTAAGCAAGTAAGTTGACTTCCTTTTTTTTTTGGCTGTTTCATTTGTTCAGATGAATTCCATGTCGTGCTCATTAGACATTAGCCTGTCTTCAATATGTGGACGTACTTGCATTTGTGATCATTCTTAATGTTCTTGGTCCCTACTTACCAGTTCCTTTCAAAGTATTGGTTTTCGAGGAACCAATAAACTCCCAAATACAAACAATCCGTTTGTAGAATAAATCATCCCTCCTCCACTGATTTAGCCTCTTTAAATAGAGGTGAAAAATACATTATTCCACTAACTAATAAAAATAGCCCACTAACACATTATTCCAAATAATTAACATAATAATGGACATAACCCTATAACAACCTGGACAGATTCAAACTATGACAATAAATAAAAAAAGAAAAAAAACAATTGTAATGTAAAATTACTGATTGAAAATAATGTTCTAAATACAAAAATAGGCTTGTAACAGATTTAAATTGCACACTTCACTTTCTCTGTGTTTGCATGCATGGTGGTGTTATCTGTCATTGGTGGTGCTTCCCATCACACTATCTTCCGTTGCATTACCATAGATTCTGGGCATTGGTAGAGGGAGAAAAGGTTGGGTTTTGTCATTTGTGAATAACCATAGTTTAGACAGCAATAGATGCTGTTGTGGCTTTTCCAACCGAGCTTTTGGCCTACCTTACTTTTCATTATTAGACTAAAAGATGAACCATAGTTTGGATCCACAAAAAATGCATATTCCTCGTTATCATCAAAGTCCAACTAGAAACATTTACATAATCATTTTCTTGCCCATCGCTCTTCCGCCAATCGATTAGTTAATTCGAACATTAAAGTCATTTTGTGCAGGCTCGCCAAAGCCATAAACGGATTCGGGTTGTGCGTGTAGTGACCACCACAGACAATCAACGAATTGTTGGATTGCTTATTCCAAATGCAGCAGTTGAATCAGTGCTTCAAGGTTTAACTCTCACGCTCTTGTTTAATAACTATACTGTGAACCTAAAGATATTCTATTGGAAGATTATTGCCCTACTTTAGATTTATTATACTGCGCTAGTTCGTATGTACTTTTAGCGATAAAAAAAACTTTTAATTGGCAGATTTTGCTTGGGTCCAAGACATCGACGAATGAGAGGAACCACTCTGGAAGTTTTGTTTTGTAAATTTCCTTGAGAAGGGCAACCTGCAATTTTCTGCACTACACAGTCGCAAGTTGGTGCGCACTATGGTGTTAAAACTGAAAAAACCTGACTCAGCATCACAATGAAAACACGATTATTCTTGAAATTCATGATCCAGAACTGGATACTAAGCAACATTGTGGATATTTAATTTTACGGGTCCCATTTTTTGGCATATAATTATTTGTATACCATAAGATATTTGTATAGGCAACGAGTTATATTCAAGTGGATTTAGTTTGATGCAAGGAGCTTGTAACAATCACAATTCATAATATAGTTGAAATACAAAATTTAATTTTGTTTTCAAGTACATGTTTTTGGTAGATCTAGCAATTAACCAAATAGAGTAGCTGGAAAAGATTCATTTAGTCCACTAATATATAACCGAATGTGAATAATGCAATTTTGCCCAAATGTTCATTGTACGTAAGCACAATAGAAAGCACCAAACCCACGCATGCACATCTTACAAGCACACAACAAAGTATCCAGTACCGTTCTTACAACTGAATTTGCAGCATTGGATTATTCTTTGGAAAATCACACAGCACGAGCCTTGAGTTTGAAACTCATCAAGGACAACCTTATTAGCGAACAAAAGGAGCATCAACATGATGGTCACTACAATAAAGTCCCGGACGCTGCGTGAAACCCTGCCTCTTCAACATCTCCCTTGCCTTCAGAACAAGCTCCTGGTTACTCACTTGGCCATCTGATTCTGCAATTATTGCCTGAATTGCATTGCTAAGAGCACCATAAGCTTCGCTGGCATTCCCAGACGGGCTAGCATCGGCAGATGTTTGGTCTGTTTGGCAGCCACTGATCAGAATCCCGCTATCTGGGAATGCTCGTTTGGTTGAGCCAGCATAGGCATCCTGTTTGCTCCCAACATGTGTTTCCAGGGCGGGTTTTGCATAGCTCTCGTCATTTTCTTCAAGCTTCTGCTGCAGAAACTGCTGGGCCAAACTTCCGACCATCCCCAAAATCCCACCACTCCCACCCTCTCCGCCATGATGCTGGAGTTTGCTCATGATGACATTCATGAATTTCTTCACCTTAGGACTAGCATCTTCTCCAAAGGCATCAAAAAGTGTTGGCCTTATCTTGCCGACATCAATATCATCCTTTCCAGTTTTTTGCTTGAGTATCTCGATGAGAGTTGAAAGTGGCAAGGATTTGTTCTTCATATAGCCTAACCCTTGACCTCCTCCTGTCAATTCTTCCTCAGCATCCTCATCCCGGTGCCGACGATGACGGCCAAATCCCAATTCAGATATGTTAATACCACGGGATTCGATAGCATCTTCAACGCTGCGCTTCAAGAAGTTCTTGAATCCAAAACCAGATCCATGGCTGTCATCATCATTTCCCCTGGTGCTCTCTCCAATCTGCTCCTTGGCCTCATCGATAAGGCCTCCGCTGTGACAAGAATCAGACACAATTGTGAGGCAGCAATCCTCGGGAACTTGGTCTACGAGCTCTCTGAAATCATCATCTGAACGCCGAACATTCTCCAAAAAGTGAGCCCAAAACATGAAAAATTCTCTAGATATTCTTATTACAACCATGCTAAATGTACATTAATTTTTACATTATTTTACATGACACCATCATAACCTTTGATATCCCCAACACCCTTCACATCACTGACCATATTTTGACACATATGGGGAAATGTTATCTAGGATGTAAACAATGATGTACATCTAGAATAATTCAACAAATAAATGTCTTGGGCACTCGCTTAAACACTTAGGCTTGCCTCAGGGTTTGTTCCAATCGCTTAGGTGACATTAATATTAGTATGTCGGATGAAAGAAATAACTTATCAATCTTTCTATTATAGGCATCACAGATTAAATTTTCTTAGTTCTATTTTCCTAATTGTTTCATAGAGAATTCATAGTACATTAACCTGCTACATAAACCAACTAGAAATGTGTCATTTGTGTTAGAATCAATCACAGTGACTGTGAAGGATCTATAAGTTACAACTTACAAGTATACAATGCAGATATATTGCAGTAGATAAGTATAACATAACCAAGTGGAAGGTAGAACGGTACTGAGTTCAACTTTTAGAAATTAGAATGTCAATGTAATTATCTAGTGAGGAGGTAGTCCCAAATCACTGGATTTACCAGTTTAATCCTTTTTCGCTTCTTTATTCAAATCATAGAATGAAATATTCGAATCAATTACATCCTTAGAAACTTTTGGTCTAGACTATTTGCCAGGCCAGTGCCGGAGTTAATTTCCTAAGCAAGGCACTCCCCATGAACACACAATCTGAGAATCGAGACAGGTCAATAGAAAACTAATAGACAATCTTCATCCTGTGTGGCCTGTACCTTGACCTTGCATCATGATCAGAAATTCACAGTCGTCAGATTTAGATCTTGATCCATCTACCCGCATCCCCAGAACAATTCATATGAAACAGTATTTTTAATACACGACACGTGTAATTGGATAAATGCGTACACATATATCATCAAGAGTGTGTTTGGTAGGGATTTTTAGAGGAAAAATTGATTTTTGAATAGTGATATTGAAAAAGAAGAAAAAAGTATTGATGCAATGGAAAATGTTATTTTATTGAAAAATATGTGGTTGAAAATGAGAATTAATTTACTGTCCAAAATGAAAATCCATACCAAACATACCCTAAATAGTTAAGTAAGTGAGAAAAAGGATGCCTACCCGTGATTAGATTCATATCAGTAGGAACAATGCACTCGTCATAGCCAGTATCATCATCCTCGCCGGTCTCCGCTGGAAGGCGGGTGCCGTGTCCACTATAGTGAACAAACAGATAGTCACCGGGCTCGGCGGATCGTACCAGATCGGCAAGTGCCTTGCGAATATTCCGGCCTGTTGGCTGCCTGAAAGAATCGTCTGTATCTATGAGCACCGCAATATCGTCCTTTGAGAATCCGTAACGTTCGATCAAGCACTTGTACATTCTCCGCACATCGTTGATGCATCCTTTCAGCTCTGCCTTCGTTCCCGGATAGTTGCACCCGATCAGCACTGCCTTCTTCGCCATAATTGATGGGGATATGGACCTTCTCAAAAAGTTGAAATTTTACTCATTTTTGAAAATTAATTTCATATTTAGACCCAAATTTTGTAATATTAATTAGTGGGGATTTTGATTGGTCGACCAACCGCCGACCACAAATTTCAAACCATCATTGAATTGAACGTGTAGAAAGAAAAGAATTAATCGCACACACGATAGCTGTCAGCAGCGTAGAGGACAAAAATATAAAAGAAAAGGATAATTTCACTCATGGTGTTTGTACTAATCACTTAGTGTACCATGGCCATCGAACTTTAACTTATTTCAATATTACCCTCAAACTTTTTACTTAGCTCAAGTTTGGTACAAATTAAAGTTTACATTTTAATTTAAATCAAAGTCATCAATCAATTTAATCACATATCTTATAAGTTCCACAATTTTTCAATTACACAATTCATTAACTTATATCAAAATTTACTCAAAGTTTGATTTTAATCCCCCTCAAATATGGGCATATTTTTCAATAAAAAAAATATTACACGAAAAGCCAATTTTTTTCTTATTTTTTATTAATCTGTTGTTCCAACATGTATTCTTTAAATAAAATGAGAAACAAACGGAGCTCTTAATTGTCAGAGTTCAGACAATAGCGATCATTTTTCTAAAAAGGTGTTATTGTTCAGGTGATGCATAGGCGTATAAAAAAATGACACGTGATCGTAACTGTTGATAGCTTGATCATTTTTTAAGTCAACTGAAATAATCACGGCTTTGTGAAAATAATGTAAATTCCAGAACAATATGTTTGGTAAAAACTTAAAAGTAATTTAACTAATTTTTAAAGTCAGTTAAATATCCATCCATCCATCCTAGCTCCTCACAAACCAAGGTATTTTCAGCGATGAACCACACCAAAATTATTTGCAAGGTAAAGCCCCTCTTTGACAGGGATTAAAATCAGATTTTTATTTGATTTTGATAAAAAAATTATGAAATTTATGATTGAAAAAGTTATAAATCCCATAAAATATGTAGTTAAAATCAATTGTTAACTTTGACTTAAATTAAAGTTTGAATTTTAATTTCTACCAAACAGTTTCAAAAACTCAAACAAACATGGGGACCCAGGATTATTGAACATATAATCCAAATCAAGCTTTGAAGCAAACAAACCGCCCAGTTCCTTAAGCAAATCAAGCATTTTCTCCTTCACCAGCAATTCCCACGGCCTTATGCATGGGCTTCTTCTTTTTTTTGTTCAGGCACTGTTACAACAAGCACTCCATCTCGCGTGGAAGCTTTTATTTGATCAATAACTGAATTTTCTGGTAATCTAAACTCTCTGAAGAAATACCCAGCATCTATCCGCTCTTTGCAATGCCATTTATAAATTATAATCACCATTTTCACTGTAGTCTCGTCTTTTCTTCCAGCAATCATGTAGAGCACTCCATCATCGTGAGCCCGATGTTTTACATAATGTTCTAAAAGGCATAATGCATGGTGATGCATGGAGGTCAAGTTATGTGCTAGGTAAACTTAGGCATATGCGTAAAAAAACATAAAAAAAAGGTTTTCTTATTTTAATTTTTAATCAATTAAAAATAATGTATATCAAATATCTAAAACATATTTAAAGAAACTTTATACATTTTTCAAAAAAAATCAACAAAAAAATAAATTTCAAATGTAAATCAACATTTATGTTTTAACTTTAAAAAATTGTAAATAAAATAAAATAAAATAAAAAAGATAACAATGAGCATTAGCGGTCAACGATTGCTGTTGACCTCGAAAAATGGCTCCGACACATGACCAACAGAATAAGTCTTCACGTATGCTCCTCCATACGCACGGTAGCAGATCGTTGTCACTTGTGGCCTTTTCCGGGGGTGGAAACGCCCGCGAGCACTCGATGGTCAAGACAGTATTTTAGTCAATCGGAAAGTGATGTCCGACGGTGAAGTGGTCATCGGGATATGGTTGAAAATGTGTGTAAATATAGTAAAAGGCTCTTTAGAGTTAAAAGACTATAATGTAAAGATTAGAATGTGACCCCCGCATTACCATTGTGCGGGGGTATTTATATTAGAGAAGGAAAGAAGAGAATCGTTGGATGGGAGGACACGTGGTTTCAGATCTTAGATGGGTCATCCTTTCATAGGTGTCAATCTGTCTATCATAGGTTGGTGGGCATTAAATGATTTATGACATAGCAACATGAGTTGATCATTTGTAAGCATGTCACACATCTCATCAATCAGTCTAAGGACTTGACTTTGGATAGATCTCCTTATAAAAGATTTGGCGGCTAGGGGAGATGAATGTGGGATATAGCGGAGTGCGGGCCTTTACATGTGTCGTGTGTAGGGATGTCAATGGGCCGAGCCAGCTCG